AATGAATAAAAAAAGAAAGATAAATGTTAGATTAACAAGGAGAGAAAAATTCTTTCCAGTTACCTTTAAATCAAATCATGTTTATTAAGCACTTTGTGTTGGTAACACACCAGTTTTTGTTGTTGAAAATGTAGCTAGCTCCTCATTGAAAAAACAAACTTCCACCATGAAGACGATGTGGAGGTTCATCCTCAGAGCTGGTTGGTGATCTGGTGGAGCAGAGCTGCTTCTGAGACAGAAAGTCTTTAGGTTTTCTAATTCCTCTTTCATATTAATTTGCTTACTGCAAAAATATGTTAAAGATAAAAACAATGATGAACGAGTTATAACAGCAGCCTCACAATATCAAAGTCTCTTTGGAAAACTGAGCTCAATTAAAATCAGTTTATGAAGAAAACTATATTAAGTTGCAACAAACAGCCTTTATGCAGTTATAACATGAAGCTGAATAATTGTTATAGTAATAATCATAAAAATCACAATAAAATTGATAAAATAATTATTTCTGAATCCAATGTAAGTTTGTTTATATGTTTACTGCACCGTTTATAATTAAACAAAGATAATTTGCATTTTTAAGCAAACTTACCACCAGCTAGCAGCACGTTAGCAGCCTTCGTCCCTTCGGTTCCTTTCGTGACCCAGATTTCATTTCCATCCGGTTCTTGTCCAGTTGTGTTGTCGTCTAACTCGGAGTAGGACGTCACCAGCTTGAATTTACCAAAACTACAAACTATTATCAAGGCTCTGTCTTAGGGTTGCTGCCTTTCATTAATCAAAATAAGGGACGGTCACCGAGGCGCTTCGCCCTCATGTGGTGGGATGGCCGCTGCATTATTTTATGGCAGTGGTTTTTGTCTTTAAAAAGTGATTCATAGAGCAATCATTCATGCATAGAGGTCGGTTAGACTACACAAAACTATACTCCAATCAGAGTAGCATACTTTAAATATGTTTAATTAAGCAAGTATAAAAGTATTTAGTAAACCACTGAGTAACNTAACTGGTCCTAACCGGTTTTAATTGGTTCTGACGGGTTCTAACTGGTTCTGACCGGTTCTGACTGGTTTTAACTGGTCCTAACCGGCTTTAATTGGTTCTAACTGGGTCTGACTGTTTATAACTGGTTTTAACTGGTTCAGACTGGTCCTAACCGGATTTTATTGGTTCTGACTGGATCTAACTGGTTTTAATCGATTCTGATTGGTTCCAACTGGTACTGAATGGTTCTAACTCTTTCTGACTGATTCTAATTGGTTTTAACTGGTTCTAACTGATTTTAATTGGTACTGAATGTTTCTAACTGGTTGCAGTGTCTCAGAGATGAAGCTGCAGGACGTTCTATCCTGTCTGATGAAGGACGATGCCTTCAAGGGGCGTGGGAAATACCACAGCCAGGTGGGTGGAGCCTTTGAGTGTAGCCTGACCTGTGACCTCAGTGGGAGGAGCTGACCTCTGACAGTCCCATGTGTCTCCAGACGTCGCCCCGAGCGCTGCAGCAGGACATCAGGGAGCGCGCCACCGTCCTGCAGACACAGCTGGAGGACTTCGTTCATTCTGACACCCACTGGGTGCAGGCGGCTAAGAAAGGTACGCTGGTCACATAACCTGCTGGATATGTTGGTGCTGAGCTGTGATTGGCTGATGTGTTGCCATGCTGCAGCGCTGCAGTCCTTCCTGCGGGCCTACACCACCTACCCCGCCCACCTGAAGCAGGTGTTCCACCTGCGGCGCCTCCACCTGGGTCACACCGCCAAGAGCTTCGGCCTGAGAGACGCGCCGCAGGGCCTGAGCCCCGGCCCGGCCCCTAGGGGTCACGGGGGCCCCTGGGACCGGGTCCGCAACAGGAACCAGAACCAGGCTGGGAAACGGGCAGGAAGCCTGAGGAAGAACCAGAACCAGAACCCGGGGAGGAAACGGTGAGTGGCTGATCCTCTGTCTGATACCACATTACCCATAGTTCCCTGCTGCTGTTACTGTGAAAACCCACTTCCTCTGGTTCTGCTCTTCCTCTGTCAGGCTCCATCTGGGTCACAGGGAGGCGGTTCTGATTCAGTCAGAGTTCTCCAGCGGCTTGGAGGGAGGCAGGGCCAAGAAGAAGAGGAAGAGGGACGTCACTGAGGAAGAGGAGGACTGATATTGAAGGTGGTTCTGAACAGAATCGTCTCGGCCTGAACCTCCAGAATCGCTCTGGTTCTGTCAGGCTGGACCCGGACCAGCAGACTGGGTTTATCCTCATAGTGAAACATCGTGACACAGAACATCTTTGATCGGATGAATTTTATTTACAATCAAATAAAAAAACAGAAAAAAAGTTTCAGGATTTTATTTCTGCACCAAACACATTTCAGATCCGGACCGGTTCTGCAGAACCACAGGAGAGGAACCGGGTCAGAATCTGATCAGAACCGGGTCAGAACAGGGCCTCCAGGCGGATTGGATCCGACTGTGGTCAGGATCCAGGAGTTCTGATGGTCCGTTTGGTCCTACAGAACCAGAACAAACCCAGAGCTTCAGCACAGAACCTTTTGGGCCTTCAGGCTGCAGATCCACAGGTTTTGGTTCTGCTTCTGCGCCCTCGGGCTCCATGGAAACGGAAGGACGCTGCTGTGACATCACGGCATCCAGGCTGTCCGGTCCGGTTTCAGAGACTGGGTCAGGTTCTGAAACTGATGGAGGACTAATGGTAGGTGGGCGTGGCCTCCGTGCAGGTAGGGGTCCATTGTGGGCGGGGCCAAAGGGAAGTGAGGTGGGAGGAGCATCCAACCAGCCACAGCCAGCAGGTCCAAACCGGAAGCGGCCTGGCGCTTCCACTTGGTTCTGAAACAGAAATCCAGAGTTAAAACCGGTGTTACGTCGATCCACGTTCCCCTCAGGTCCGGTTCCCTCCCAGTTTAACCCAGGGAACAGTTCCCCCACCCCCAATGTAATAGATTAGTTTGTTGCCCCCTAGTGGTCAGAAATACAGACATAACTGTTTCTAGGGATAGTTTCTGATAGGCCAACTATTAGGTTGTCGAGAGCTGACGTCAGACACTGGTGTGGTTGTTCTGTTCTGTGTTCCGCCAAAAAACCAAGTAAACCCGTATTCGCAGCTCCTCTCTCTGATTCCTTTCCAACCGAGAATATCACACCCAGCTTTAGCTTATACTGCACTATAAGGTTGGGCTGTATGGAGTATAATCTAATATCTATATCTATAACTGACGAACCAGTTAGTTATATGAACCAGTCAGTCTCATGTAGGGTTGCCACCTTTCAGAAATAACAATAAGGGACGGTCACCATGTCGCCCTCATGTGGTGGGATGGCCGCTGCAGTGATAGACAATATTTTATGGAGGTGATTTTTGTCTTTAAAAAGTGATTAATAGAGCAATTGTTCATGCATAAAGTACTCCAAAATTGTCCTCCAATCAGAGTAGCATACCTTAAACACGTTTAAGCAAGTGTAAAACATATTTGGTAAACTACTCAAGTACTGATCATAACAACTGATTTAATAATCAAAATGTGTCCTCAGCCAAAAGTATAAAAGTTATGTGAACATTCTGGTACTGTAAAGAGTATTACTAAAATATTTATATAAATAAGGAGTTAGGTTTGGAGGCTGGTTCTAGAACAAATTCACCATGAGGGCCGGAGTAGTCGGTGTTTTTTGAAACAAAAAAACAAACAAACTGAGCAATATTTCATCATTGGATATATTAAGTGAGCCAAAGAGCCACTTGTGTCTCCAGAGATCCAGGCTGCAGATCCCTGGCAGGTAGAAAGTCTGATCCTATACAGCAGCTAAAATGCACTGTAATATTTAATTCATTGTTAAAGTAAAATTGTGAAGGTTAAAAAAATCCACCACTGAGTATTAACATAAGACATATATTTAGTAGAACTTCTTTGGTCCCCCGTTGGCCCCCATCTAGATCCGCCCCTGGGCTGCAGGTCTGGGTCTGGTGCATTAATGACCACTGAACAATGAATTCATACAATATATAAACATTTCACAATAAAACATACAGAAAACCCTAAGAAACCTTTTAAAGTAGGAAATATTTATGTATTTACTGTATGATTTGTTCTTTAAATGACAATTTGTATTATTTTGGCTGATATTATTATACATTAAATAAGCAAATAATCAAACCAATATAGTCGACTAAAAGCACAATAAAAAACTTAATCATAGCAAAATGTTCTGCACCATATCAGCCTCAGGAGATGATTGAGGGATGAAGAGATGCTGATTTCTGGTTCATAAGGTTCTGATGGGTCTGCAGTTCCTCTCCTGATCCATTCTGTATGATATACAGCAAACTGCGCCACAATGGACACATTTTTTTTAAATTGTCTTTATTAATTCTCACTAACATTATTCAGCCTATTTGCATCTTCCCTCACGTCTGTATCTTTACAAGACGTTTTACTTCTAAGAAAAGCAACCCAGGTCTTTTAAGGGTAGGGTTAGGGTTCTATGTTATACACACACACACATATATATATATATATATATATATATATATATATATATATATATATACACACAGAGAGAGATTTATGTAATAGAAAGAAATGTATGTACGTATATATAAGATAATATAATATGTATTTAGTGAGTGGCAGCTCTTCACTACATATTCTACTTATTTTTGAATACAAAAGTAAAAACGTCTTATTTTAAAAGGCTTTTATTTTGAAATTATACAACAGATCTAGTGGACATTTTCTGGTCGTGTTCTAGAGGTGTCCCTCTGCCACCCAGAAGTGAGAGAAATACTGGAAACAGAGAGTTTTCAAGCAATAAGCACAGCAACTTACGGGAAAAAAGTACTTTTTTGATAGGCTTTTATTTTGAAATTATACATCAGATCGGGTTGACATTTGCTGGTTTTGTTCCAAAGGTGTCCCTCTTCCACCCAGAAGTGAGAGAAATCGCTGGAAACAGAGTTTTCAGCATTGCATAATGTCCCCAGTTATTTCTGATACATTATTTCGTTTTGCAACTGTCCCATTATGTCTTGAGCTGTCGCGCACGTGAATATCTTGTGCGAGC